ATGATTCCAAGAGACCAGTATAGGAGACCGGCTCGAGGAAGAATGAACGGTGCGAGTCCGGGCGCTGTCTCGAGCGCTTCCCCCACCATCCGCCTGCTGCGGCTCACCGAGTCCTGCGCGACGATTTTGCGCGCACACAGTTTTGGGCATCTTCCAGTACTTCTAAATATGCTTGGCCACAATTTCCGATATCTTAGTGTTAATATTTTGCTTTATTGATTTAATTATTTATTTTAATGTACCAAACACCTGATTTATTAATACTTCAATTTGAACGTAATTTATTTTCGATATTCTACAGTTTCAATACAATTTTTATCTACTCCGTATATTCTGCGAGGTTTTGATTTAGCCTCAATTTTATATTTTGAATAAATTTTGAAAGTAAATGAAGATTCAATAATACTTATTTGTATTTGGTATACTGCTGTAATTATGTTGTATTTATTCAGTTTTTCGAATTATTTATATTTTTCGTCAATTCATTTTTTTCTTCTTCTCCCTTCCTTCTTGTTCTTTTTTGTTTTCGGCTCTATGCTCTCATAGAAGGCCAAGTGCCAGGAAATTAATTGTCACTGCCGGGTTTCTGTACGAATGCTTTTATTTTCATGGATCCGAATAAGTATGTAGCATTCAAAAACGGAGAAACTATGTTCTCAGCGCCCTCGGCTAATCGTTGAACACACTTGTTATAGGTGTGTTCGAAAATGATCCATATTGTAAGAAGAGTATCATTATGTCTCTGTTTCTTTAATTTCGTACTTTGTGCTTACGAGGATTGTGTTCGTGACCTGTCGAGACCCCTTTTACTTCTTCTTTTTGATCTCCTTTTGGCTTTGTACCCTCATAAAGGGCCAAGTGCCTAGCCCCTTATACACACCCTCCCTGGCTTATGACGCCCGGTGGTGCGTTCAAAAATCTTACTCAGCTTAATTCAGACACCTTGCGTCTCTTTTTATTATCGTTATTACGAAGAGGATGGACTGATTCTAGAGTCGACTCTAGAGAGATTTCTGAACGTACTCCAGGCGATGCTCATTCGACATTCTTTCTGATTCGTCGCGTTCGTTTCCTGGTTGTTGTTGGTGCAACGTGTGCTTGTGCGTGGACTCTGTACTTCCCTGGCGTGCTCTGTGCAGTAACCCGCGTTTTCCTACCTGGCGATAGTGTTTAGCCATTTCACGTCTTTAACCCGGATAATAGAGAGTCCAAGCTACATCGAAGACTCTGGTACCGGTATTACGATGAGTACTGACAGCATCGAGAAGCTGTACAAGAATTTTGGTATTCTTGCTGATGCAAAGGATAAACTTGCAGAGGTATGGCGTTTTTGATTGGGTTATGCGTGTCGTAACATTGATATTACTTTTCATTTCTCGAATATACATCGTCCTTCAATTCTTTGATCTCTCGCTTGTGCCACATAAGAACTTATCAATTTTGAACTCATGCTTGATGTATAACTTTGTATCAGAACAGTCATTTTTATCATGTTTTTCTTGCAGCATGGGCGGCTTTTGTAGTCTTCTGTTACGAACTCCATATGCAATCATGCACGTTAAAGTTTGATATTTTCAGTAAAATTTCTAAAATGAAGTTAATACATTTTATTGTTTTGCTTTGATAAGATTTACATTTGATTTGCTTTTGTAATGCTTTGTGTGAATAGTTTTTCATTGAGGAAGCAGATTATTAACATCAGAATGTTTAAAATTAATTTTGTATGCTCAATCTAGCTAGATATTAGTATAGAACAACCCTATTATAAACTATGGATACCTTTTTGTCTTATTACATATTCAACATTTGTTATATTCAGGCAGAAGCTGAATAGTAGGCAAATAAGTATCGTTTCGGTTAGTTTAATATTTACTTTTGTATTTACTTTTAGTATTGTAATTTTTTTTTAGTCTATTACAGGTACTCATTTTAGATGACAATAATGGATATTTGTTTGTTTTCACAGCATGAAAAAGAGTACTTGGAAATATTAACAGCTGTCAAAGGTTCACCCAAGGAAAAGCGTTTGGCTTCGCAATTCATTGCTAGATTCTTTAAATACTTTCCAAAGTTAGCTGATCGTGCAATTGATGCCCATTTGGATCTTTGTGAGGATGAAGATATGGCTGTGAGTTTGATGATAAATTTTAGTTTTTTTAGTTATTTTTCCTTTTCTCTCAAGGTTTTCTTAAGTATACATTTCATAGCTTTATCTTTTATGGTTCTTAAATCTTCATTAATTATATTTATTTTTTAGACAGTGCTTGTAAAAGATGTTTTAAATTTTTTAAATTTCAGATAAGAAAACAAGCTATTAAGGATCTACCAGCTATTTGTAAGGACAGCAAAGAACATACAGCAAGAATCGCTGACATTTTAGCCCAACTGTTACAAGCACAAGATACATCAGAGTTAGCAGTTGTCCAAAACAGTATTATGTCTCTTATGAAAAGTGATCCAAAAGGTAATATCTATATTTCACTAATTAGTTGAGTTTGTTAATATAATTATTTCTGTTATTATTAAAGCTAGTGAGAAAGATGATGAAATATTTTTTTTGTAGGTGCCATAAGTGGATTTTTCAGTCAAATACTGAATGGCGATGACGGAACACGCGAGCGATGCATTAAATTTCTGGCAACGAAACTGAAGGCTATTGGTCATGACGTTATCACTAAGGAACCTGAAGACTTGCTCATTGCTGAGTGCAAAAAAGTATTGCAGGTACAGTCTTCCTGAAATCTGTACCAAAATCAAGTATCTAAATCCTAATGTACAAAATACGTGAATGAATCAATTCAACGGCTTTTTCAGGATGTGACAGCAGATGAGTTTCACAGCATTATGGAAGTTTTAGCTTGGACCAGACTCGGCACAACAGTCAGTGGACAACAAGAATTGATCGATATTACAGTAGAACAAGCTGAACTGTCTGTTCCTTTTAAACACACTAATTTGGAACAATGGAATAGGCTTGTTCAGTGTATCGGGCATGCTCTTCCGTTCTTTAGCGTGAGTATCATTACATGCTTCACCAAATACTTGTAACACTTTGATCAGGATTAGGCACTTTTGTGATAGCCAATGATTTTCATGCTTCTCGTTATTTTTCCGCTTTATAGTCACAGATCGATTCGTCGAGGTTTGTGTCGTACATCTGTGTGCAAGTGTTGCCGCATCTTTCATTGATTACGGCTCCAGATGGTCGTGATGCGCAACTTGAAATACTGAAATTACTCGCAGAACTCGCCGTTTTTTGTGGCAACATCGAAAAGCCTGAAGAGAAAGTACAGCAATTATATAACACTCTCATCGTGAGTATAACAAGTATAAGAATATGTATGCTTCGATTTCACAATTAAAAATTACCACATTTCAAAAATTAAATCGTTTTCCTTTGCTCTAGACCTACATGCCACTACCTCCAGACACTGAAGTGTCCGAAGTGCCGAAACTTCAATTCAGTCATGTAGAGTGTCTCATGTACGCTTTCCACAAGTTGTGCAAGCAGACTCCAGAATTTCTGACTAAGGATGCGGAAGGGCTTAAGGAGTTCCGCCTGAGGCTCCAATACTTCGCTCGCGGTATTCAGGGTTACATTAAAAAACTCCGTGAAGCCATTGGCGGAAAAAGCGAGGACGAGTTAAAATCAGAGGAGAATCGGCTTAAGGTCGTCGCCCTCAAAACTACCAACAATATCAACATTCTGATTAAAGATCTATTTCATTCGCCACCGAGTTTCAAGAGTGTTATACATCTTTCGTGGATAACACCGAGTTCCGATAATAAAAAGGTAAAAGGAAATGCATGGTCGAAATATATAATTTAACTGCTGTTATTACGAGAATATTGCGGCTGAGTCTGCGGCTGACATGATTGTTATGTCTTATAGTAACTGTTTATCACTTGTTTTAATTTTTTGATAGATCGAAAAAACTTCGCCAGGACAGAAAAGGCATACTCCCATTACCTTCGGCAACGACAGTGGCTCCAGCAAACGCAATAAGGAGGATGGGAAAGGTAGCAAAAGGGAAATTTACACGCCTCCAAGTGGAAAATACAGTTCAAACATTTCTTCAAATTATGGTAAGTTTTTCTTTTAATAAATAATCTCAGCGTTTAATATCTCAAGGCGGAAAGTAGCACGAAGCTTCACTTGGTGCTTGAACATTATCGTACTGATATTTGGTACTTTCTACGAATGAAAATCACTTGATTGGCACTTTGATTTTCAGGCTCTAGAGGTCGTTTCAGAGGTAACAGGTCGGGTAGCCGTGGAGGATACAGACCGCGTGGTCGTGGTGGCTGGAGAAAGAGTGCATATTAGCAACCAAGGAAAGCTCCAATCCGACATTTCTAACTTTGTCCTGTGGAACCTGTAAATTATGTGCATCTTAAAGAGAAGCAAAAAGAGGACGTAAAGGAGAAGAAACAGAAAGAGAAAAATGAAAACAGAAATAAGCAGAGATGTGAGAGCGAGGAGTAAAGAAGTATCATCATAGAGGAGAATTGTATCTCGCGCTGCGAGATTATCGCGTATATAATTGTCTTTTCAATGAAGTGAATCAGTCAAAGGTGGATTTTTGTTTCCGGTTGCTCGTCCGAAATTTCAAAGAGGCACCCTGAACGTTATCAACGTATAAAATACCATGAAATCTAAAAGCTAGTGCACGTACTGACAAGTTATTACGCTTAATCTATCGTTTCTTTACCCAACAAGGATTTTCCCCGTTTTAATTATGCAACAATTTATTGTCCATATTCTTCGTGGCTAAAACGTGTTGCAATGTGGATCTTGAATCAATTTCTCTTTTTCTCTTCCATTCTATTCTTCGTTGTGTTTATGAAGGAACTCGTTTTAAAAAAATTCATTTGGACGACTATGGTGTGACTGGGACGCCACATATGGCGCTTGCTCTACCTTCGCATAGTAATTGGAACTACTGTGTTAATTCATATTCAAACAATCGATAGATGAGAGACAGTTCTTTTTTCATTAGTATTGCTTAACAGTGTTTCATTAACGTAGTTCGTTATTTGCAATTGACATTTCATTGCCGGTAATCACTTCAGAATAGTTTAGTGTTTCTACGACGAGGGCGAAGACATTTTTAATAAAAGTTTACGCTCATTTCATGCAAGTTCCTGAGTGAGCACGCAGATTAAACAACGTGAATCTTTGTTATTGAGCTATGACATTATAACTATATGATACCTACAGTGAATACTTATAAAGTAATTTGCAAAATTTAATGATTTTCGTCATATCAATATTCAATTATTGGCTAAAATTTTAACACTATGGAAGAAAATATGAAGACAGAATCAAAATCATCATAATTGGTTAAATAAGAATCGGCATCGACGTACTGCGTTAATTTGTGTTTAACAGGGTTGCTAAATATTAAAGTAACGAAAGTGTACAAGTTATATGCTAAAATTCAAGAACATAAGCAGTGATCCTGATCCATGAAAAAAATTAACTTATCTGCAGTGCACGCGTTCAAAGTGCATCTCGTGAAATAAAAATAGAAACAAGATGCTTGAAGAAAATATAAATAAAAGAAAGTTGCATGAATGCAAAAAGACATCTACAATGAAAATTTGTGAACGTAAAAATTCGACAAAACCATATGCAAAAAAGAAATGGCCGCAAAACTACAAGAACAAGTTGAAAAAATAAGGGGGAACTAATCGTGTGCGCGTTGCATTTCCTTCCTAAATTCCACAATAATTTCATTATCCAAATCCAAGTTTTTGTTCCACTCCATTCCCATGTTCCAGTTACAGTATTCGTCTTTTTAAAAACTGTTTTGATTATCGACGCAAGAAACCTTTCCACGTTATTTAATGCTAAACGTTGGAAAACAATTTACCTCATTCGTCGAGTCCTTAAATACTGTCATTAAAGTAAATTTGTTGTCAAAGCAAATATGTTTAACCTTAGATACTTATTAGTTATCAAAATGGAAAGTTTCTGCTTCGATTTTGAATTTTCAATTGGAATGTTTGTTGTTTTGCTTACAGCTGCAGATTACAAATAAGCTGATGATGAAAAGGGGCCAGAATCGAGAATGAAGCATCGGAAAAAATATAACAACTTTTTGTGTTTCAGTATCGAGAGGCGGGATCTACCCTCGGACTTCTACTTCGAAAATTGAAATAAGTTTTTTTCAGGTCTTGCTGATCGATCGACCACCCAGCTGATTCTATTTGTAGTAGTATATCAAATTGTCATTTTCAAACGAGGTGAGTCTTAAAATCTCCCGACCAATTTCTTTGTTTCCTTTGTCCAAACTACCGTCAATGTTATCACCGTTGCTGTCATCGTTGTCATCGTCGTTGAAATATTTCTGCTGTGTTCATAATTTTGCATTCATTATAACAATCTCTTGATTATTAAACTAATAAAATCATTTAACCACATATATATTTCTTAAATTGATTGTTAAATTATTTCTTATCCCTACCAGTGACAAGTTATCATAGATTTTTAATGATAGCCGTCATTTTTTGTATTACATTATGAAAAAACTATATGAACTGTACATTTAGATATTAAATTTTTGTTGAGAATTTTAAATTCATGAAATTCTTTATTTTTAATGTAGTGTTATGCCTCTGAGAAATTCAAACATCAAAAGAATTTAAAAAAATACAAATTGTGAATTATGATAAGAGTGACTGTCAATACAAACAAATGAATAAATCGATAAGAATTACATCTTTAATTAAAATAAACCGTTGCTTGATGTCATTGCAGTCATCTCATCAATAACATTACACATAATACGATCACTTGGACAGCAAAGGTCAGGTCCTCTTTGCTCAAGTCCTAAAGTATCCATAGCTTCCATTGCATCAGTGTTTATTGCAAGTTTGGAATCTAATTCTAAACCATCAGGAAGCATTTGTAATGCATGTTGCAAAATTTCCTGAACCTAAGTACAAACGTGAGAAAACAGTTACCATCGTAAGCATAGAACCCCAAACCTTTGAGATAATTATGTCAACATTTCCATACCTTTTCAAGGTGTTTCTGAAATCGAAGTGCTGTGTCAACTCTCTGTCTCCTTTGAAGTTCCATCATTACTCTTAAAGTCTCACGAGCTTGATGAGGTCTAAATTCATTGAGCAAGTGATGAATGTGAATGAATAATAAACTTAGATCTTCTACCTGAAGGAAAATTGATTCTTGATATATATATATATTAAAATATTTAATATTTAATATTAAAATTACTGTTAATACCTTCTCTGCACGTCTTGGACTATCAGGACATTGAACAAGTAAGTCAATAAGATCCAAGAAATTGACAAGCAATGAGTGGTTAAGTTTCTTAAGCTCCCGGCGTCGATCAAAATGTTGTGGATAAAGTCTTTTGATACCTTGAGCCTCAAGTGGTCTAATAATTGTATCATCAGCGTTGAATACATTGCCAAACATTGAATATGTATCATGGATTGGTGGTGGTGGCCGTGGTGCCCGACCTCTTCTAACATTTTCATCGGTGTACAAGTTTATATATTGTACTGGAGGTAATGGCAAAGAACTAACTTGTATCGCTTCAGATGCTGCCATATCAAGAGACTGCAGAGTTTCGTTTGAAATTTACTACGATCAAAATTTTAATGATATTAATTTTTAACAGATTACTATTTACACAAATTTGCTTTTATTGAAATAATAAAATATATGTATAAATTATGTAATATTATAAATGAATTGAAGCTGAAATTACGCCAAAATAATGGAAACAAATAATAGTGCAGATAGGTTAAGCTGGATAGCTTGAAATTATATGTCCTTACCGCAAAATTAATTTAGCTATGCAATACTAATGTTGTTATGTTATGTTTGCGTAATATTAATCAATTAAATATATTCACTGGATTACTTTTTGATAACTGTCTTTTATTTTACTTTCACAGTCCTCAGATATATCTCAGTCTTTCTGCCATGTTGACTCTCCCTACTCCCGATAAGGTTTATAGAACCAGGCGAAAGACCATGCAACATGAGGCCCATGGGAAAAATGTATCAAGCGGTGGTGCCGCCACTAGTAGTGTATTTAGCGTACTATCAGGGTCAAATGGTATATTCATGGTAACTTTAAGTATTTCCCATTTCAAGTAAAACATCTGAAGTTGCTGCGTCCGTGAGCAAAATATCCCATTGATTTTCCGCCGAAATTTAGTTACCGAGTCCTGGATTTCTGGGTTATTGTTGACTTTTGTGATATGTATCGAAACTTTAAAGATATTTCATGACTGTCGAAATCACTAAATTTTGTCGAGGAAACAAAGCGGGAATATTCTCTTGCACGCGGCAATTTTGGAGTCTTACTTGAGATGGGATATAACTTAAAGTTAGTACGAATACACTATACTGTAGTACCCAACGGTCAGCCACAGTCGCAAAGGCATCGTTGGCTACTACGTCCGTGGTCTTTCGTTGCAGTGAATATTTGTAAGGATGACTAGGAGTCGGCCTGCGAGTGGCAGGCTTAATTTACATTTTGTGTCTTTCTTGTCGCTCGATTTCACTTCTTTATGTTCCTGACCCTTTTTTTTTTCAATTACCAAAAGAGCGTTTGAAGTTGGACGGCGGAAGGGACGTAGCTCCGTCATGGAGACGTAGAACGTCGTGGATATAGGTTGGCAGGGGTCACCAAAAATCTACAGGATCCGTTAAGCTATCGTCTTTTCTTATACGTTCTGTGAGAGCTCTCGTTTTGGCGGAGTCGAGACTGTTTTACCTCAACTCCCATATCATAAAGGGTCGTCAGTTCCCGGTAGAAAATAACTGGTTAGCGTCCGCCTGGCATGCGGTTGCATGGGCCAATCGTGGACGGCCGAAGGTGACGTAGAGGTTAGCTCTTGGATTTATGCTATCGATATCGAGTTAAGAAAATACGTTACAAATGACACTAGCCATCAATCTTGCACGAAGGTTTCTCATTTTTGGATTTAAGAAGAAAACGAGTAATATGGAAATTCAAATTTATGGAGCATCATTAGTGACAAGAGAAGAAACGCAGAGTGGTATACGAAGATATTTCAGGTGGAAGTAGCAGTGGTTAAAAGAGAAAAGGAGAAACGACCGAAAGAAGCATCGCCGCATTGTAAAGGGAGTAAAGTGACAATTATGTAAATCTGACGGTTGCCAGCAGATTTCGCCGCCACTTCAAATTGAAATGCAAAAGTTAAAACGAGTTGTGAATTGTTTGTTGCCCTTTAGCGACAGTACAATTTGCAAGCAAACAGCCCATTAGCCGAAAGGAGCATCTTCCTTGCATTCCGATAAACGTATACTCGACGATTCGGTAGCAGCATTCCAATTACTGATCTTAGAATCACTAGTGGAATTTCATAAAATAATGAATATATATTATATACGTCCTATATTCTGTAACGTACTTTCGTAATCGAACACCGATAACGAACATCTGAGAACTAATCTACGTCACGTTTGGCCGTCCATCCTTTGTCCATGCATCCGCATACCAGGCGGACGTCAGGTCTCTCAACTCCGCAAAAGCGAGAGTTCTGACGACACCTATCAGAAAAGACGGTAGCTTAACGAATCCTGTAGATTCCTGGAGACGTGCAAAATTGAGAAACGCAACCGGAGCTGATGATCTCTTGGGTCGCGTAACATCCGCAAACGCAGCTTAATGCACGAACGGGACCGAAAGGGTAAACAGTGCCGAAAACAGAGAGCAATTGATCGAGAATGTAACAGACCGAAACGGAGCTATATACTATAGTTGAAATCCTTTCACCATTTATTAAATTGGGGGGTCCTTACCGGAGCTAGTGTAGCTGATCCGTGGAGGCCGAGAACTGTGTGCAGCGGGACACTCGGTTTGACACTGCACTATAACACTAGATTGCACTTCCGAAACACAGGCAGATAATAGATATGACTGTCCGGGTATTGCGAGAGCAACGCGAAAACTGGAGAAACGAAAACTTTTTGCACCGTATAGGAAATACAGCAAGGAAAATTATAAACGAAGAGTCCGGGAGGTGTCCCAAGGCAGACTGCTTTGACAATAATCAAATGCGGGAATCAATAATTCTGATTGGTCGAGATCTTTAAAACCAATAACTATTATCCCTTCCTTCGAGTCGTCCCTTTAAATTAAATTGCGAGCATTGCTTAACGATTCGGTATACATATATATATATATATATATATATATATATATATATATATAACAAAACTCGTTGTTAGTTTTACTTGATTCCGAAGAATTGAAAAAAAAGAATTAGTGAACGTATGGTGAGTATGATCGTGAGGCATCCGGAAAATTCTCTATTATGGCTGTCTGTTTTACAAACAAGTAAAAAGCAAAAAATGAAAAGCAAAAAGACATCTTCAACGTATCCATGATGTATTTAAGAATTCTTTCCATTTTCTCAAATGTTTTCGAACCAACGTCGTTGGGTATCACGTTTTCAGAGATTGCGTTGTGCGGCGGCACAGTAGTTATGTACTCAGAAACACGTAAATACACGCGCATAACTTGATTTCCGTGTCGATTCAAGCTGCATTCAGAGCATCAAGCTTGCAATGAAAAGGCATTCCAGTTTCTGAATATATTCCAATTAAAAAGTCGGAGCTTCGTTACACTCGGTTCTTTGCCCCGCGTCCTGCCGCCATCGCGATTCCCTTTACTTCTGGCACTTAACTTTTTACTCGCTGCATCCGAGGGCCGACGCGACCGACGCCGACCGACGCGCCTCCCCCATTACATCGCGTTCCTCTAGCACGTACTCGCGAGTTTCGAAGGAATTTATTATTCTTCATGCATTACCCCTCGCTCATCGATCTACTAATTTCAATCGTCTGTTTATTTATTTATTCATTCATTCAGTTATAAGAACAAAAAACCGGTTAAAAGGATGTGAGGGAAGTGGCAAAAAGTAAAAAATTCTTCTATCTCACGTAGTGCAATCTTCGAGTGTTTAACGATCCTCAGGGTGCGCGCTGTGTAGGGTGCTGTGTTGCCGAAGGAGAAGGGCCAGAATAATGGCGCGTGCCCAAGTGCCAAGAGGACTCACGCACGTATGCACGCACGGGTTCGAATATATATTTGCGTATAATGCACACGTGTCTCCGGCATGGATGGATCACTTGGTCCACTTGGTCCACTTGGTCCACTTGGTCCACTTGGTCCACTTGGCCCACGTCACTCTATTGGGACCCCACTGTGCCAATTGGAAGCTGTATTCTTACGTTCTTAGCTTGAGCCCTCGATAAACGTGCAGGAAGGATTCCCCCTTGGGATTTCACAGTAGGCATAAGGGAAGTTAGGTTGCACATCATGGATATCGTTATCGTTGTAATCTGCCTCGAATTCAAGAGGGCCAAAGAATCTTTTCATTTACGTACATCGATTAACTACACTCGTCCACCTTACAAGGAAATTCTCTCTCTCTCTCTTTCTCTCTCTCTCTCTCTCTCTCTCTCTCTCTCAGATAAGACCCCCTTTTCCCTAAGGTCAACGCGAACGAGGTGGTGGTTGCTTCCTGCAAGTCCTGCAAGCCGAGGATCCCAATTGGAATATTTTCAAGGAAGCAGATCCAGTTTGCAACGAGCAATTTTCTTCGACTCTCTCTGAACCCTGAGCAGTGCTGGGACAGTGTCGACACGAAACGACGACACGAAACGACAGTTCTCCATTTCTCACGGATACTCCTGCATCCATATTTTTTCGTTTCTTAATTCTTATACTTGACCAAAAAGTTGGATCGCCGCAAGCAATTACCATTGCTAAATCACAGTAGAATAAGATTCGCATATAGATTCAATCCCGTGCATTCAATTAGTCAGTAACTATACTCTCAACCTCTGAACCTCTCAGCCGCTCAACCGCTCAACAGGGCACTCGACTTGTATCGGTTTCAGCCTATTACCTTCCTCGAATAGCGTGCTCTCAATTCTGAATAACTTCTTATTTTCTGGCCACGTGTCTCGTGTGGCTACATTTCACTGTAATTACAAAGCTGAACGTCAGAGTCCGAAGTCGTGGAACGACTCAAGTGTCATTATTCGTTCTACCGTCTACCTACCTGACCACCGCGCTGACCACCAGGAGTCATCGATGTTTTCGCGGATAACGGCGAGAGAGATAAAATCGAATGAGAGAGCGACACAGCTTAATGCCGTCGCACACAGCACGCGACGCAAACTAGCAAACTAAACGGAAATTCAGGCAGAGTTAGATTGATATTTTATATATTTCTCCTTAGATGATATAATAATTCCTTTATCAACAATAATATTAATAATATTCATTGAAGGTGAATATGTCCAGGTGAATCGGCGATTGACTAACGAACGACCGAGCTTAATGAAGATAATGATGAACGCGGACGCAGCGATCTTTTGATACAACATACTTTAATAAAATTTCTATCAACATAGACAAGTTTACCTCGAGATTGCACGTTCTTATGTTATGTTATGTTACGCTGGATTATAATAAATGATTTAATGACTACGACGAACGCATCTCCTCTTCACCTATAATCTATGATAGTCTATAAACGAATTAGCATATCGTCACATAAATTATCTAGTTATTGATTATAAATATCTGATCGCAAAGCGAACGATTTCGGAAGAGCATATCTTTAATTCGTATCTCTTGCCTTGGTACAAGGATACGCTTGTTTTTTCGAATTCGACTGATTAGCAATTCGGTTAGATATTCGAATAATTTTCAATGAAACTGCGACAGGAGTGAAAGGAGTGAAAGGAGTGAAAGGAGTGTGGAGGCTCTCGGGACCTCGTCCTCGACGATCTGCTGGTGCGATCTGCGCTACAAATGAATAATTACATATTTACAGTGAAATTAATCCTGACGACTCGAAGACGGTTAGATGACCCGGAAATGGTCGGGCGATTTTGGTCTCCGTTCGAGGAGCGTTGAGCTCGGCTGTCTAAAATGAAAGAGAGGCTCCGGGTCAAATGTTCGATCCCATCCTTATTAGACGTAAGGATGATAGTTTACGAAATCGTAGTCGTAGTCGTAGTCGTAGTCGTAGGCTAGGCGAGTGGCGGCGCGATGGTCGAGGACTCGAGGACTGGGGTTGGGTTAGAGAGGACAGCCGTGGACGTAGGTGACGTTCCTGAAGAGGGCGGCGGCCGTCGAGAGGAAGGCGGCCGTGGAGGCGCTCGAGGGGGCCGCTGGTGCTGGCGGTGCCGCTGCTGCTGGAGGATGAGATGCCGTTTGGCTCTGCGAATAAGGTGGACAGTAGGCGTCGATGCTGGCATGATGGAGACCCACGCCGCGCGCCAGCAGTTCCTTCTCCACGGTTGCCTGGTGCCGAAGTTGCTCCAGCCGAAGTTGATTCTGTCGTTTCCACTTTGTTCTGAGGAAGCGAGACACTTGATACTTGGGATGCTGCCGATCGTGCTACGATAAATTGTCTATTCACTTTCTAACTACCGACCTTCTGTTCTGATACCAGGTCTTGACCTGGGTCTCTGATAAGGACAGTGCATCGGCGACGTCGCTGCGATCAGCGACGCTTAGGTACTTCTGACATCGAAACTTCCTCTCGAGGTAGGCCAATTGCGCGTGCGTGAAGGCTGTACGTCTTCGCCGTGGCTTGCGGCCTCCGGGTGCTCCTCCGGCTGTGTTGCAGGCCTTGCCGGATGTCGGTGGGTTCGGGGATGGCGATAGCGCCGGTGGCGGGCTCCCCAGTCTGGTGCAGGGACTGCTTCCTGGGTCGATGGTGTCTTCCGAGTCGGACTGAGGGGCAGATTCGTCTTCGGAATCGTCTGTGGGATCAAATGACAATCTGGCTATCGTCCGATTTACCTCAAGTTTAGTGCTATTTCAGACTTTCGGAGTCCTTACTTCCGATCGATCGAGAGATCCTTTTGTGCGCGCACGTGCTTTTCAATACTAATCCAATATTCCTGATGGAAGCCCGTTAACGGGACAACACCATGCGTATGTACATCCCTTAGCTATGAATTTATTAAACGGTCCCTATAGGAGAATAACAAGCATAACAAGCCCGAGGCCGCTTTGGCTGATTGGCCAATAATCTGCCGGGCACCGGCCCGGCGGGGTGCAAATAGCACTGGGACAAATCGAGCGACTAACGAGCCCTAACGAATCTATCCGCACCTTCGGACCATCTGCAGGACTCCCGCTAATGGGATACCACCCTGAGGCACCCCGAGGCACCCCGGGCCACGCGGGGTTCGTCTCGCTCACTCACTCTCGCTCCTTGATAGGAATAATAGGCGAACGCACTGGGTGCCCGACGGGGGGCGACGGCGGGAATAACGAGAATCCTGATGTGAACGCGAGAAAAACGCTCATCGACTAATTAATATTCATCGATACTCCCGACCACCTATCCGTATTTTTGAGATTGGCCACTTTCCGATTATTCTCAAAGGTTTAGCGGGTATTGAATATTCCGAATTTGGTACCACCGAGGAGGCATTTATCATGACTTCGTGATTCATGATAAAAAGGATTTCTTTTAAACGTCCCAAACAACCATTCTTTTGGCAATGCTCTTGATTCGCTGAACACGTCCTCTCGAATACTCTGCTCTTAGAAATCGTCTCATGTGACGTTTGGTCATTTTTTTATTTTTTAATTTTTTTATTTTTTCATTTTTTCATTTTTGATACCATAAACTCTTGACCGACAGTTTAATAATATTCGTCTTTGATTAGAAACGAGTGAAATAGGCCTAGAATGCTCATGAAAATCGAATGAGTCAAGTTGGAAGCTTAAGCAAATAGAGTTGCTCACCTCGAACACGATCGACAAGTACGTCTCCCAGAAGATCACGAATGAGAAAAGATTTGTGCTCCTGCATCATGTCGTCGAACTGAAGTTTAATTTTCACCAATCGGCCAAACAAATCACAAAACTCGTAAAATCACGTGAGAGGGTCGAGAAGGGTGAGAAGGAAGACTCGACGGAGAAGGAGAAGGAGAAGGAGAAGGAGACGACGAGTCACGGCCGACAGCTGCAGTCAAAGACGTGAAGCACCGAAATCGAAATTCCATCACATCCGACAGATTGAGGTAACTCGGTGCGGTCGTCGGGACGCTCGGCGTCTTTCTGCTGTCTCCGGATGACCCGATAGCAAGGTACACACACCTCAAGGTTCCTCCACGTAAGGGTACGTGCGTGTACAGCTACCCTGTCCGCGCCACCCCCTCGAATTAATCCGCCCGTTTATTTTGAACGGCGGCTCTAATGCCCGCGCAATTTCGCAGCCATTTTGGGGGTGGAAACGCGATGGTTGTCGTCGGCTGGGCTGCCATTGGACGAGCTAAGTATCGCAGAGAGGGTGAGTCTGGAGCGCAGGAGCGCAGGAGCGACCCCATTGGTCCATCGGAGTTCGGAGCCTTCGGGGGTTGGTCGCCGCTTGACATTTTAATGCGTTCCACTAGACACACCGAGACACACCGAGACACACCGAGACACACCGAGCCGAGATACATCCTGGACCGCGAGGCTCGCGAGGACAAACGGAGCGGGGCTGGGACTCATTGGCGAACGATTAAACGGGAACCCCGCTGGAGAAGGCCAATTGAACGCGTGGCACGCGAGAGAGAGAGAGAGAGAGAGAGAGAGAGAGAGAGAGAGAGAGAGAGAAGCGCGTCAGTGTTCAGGCTGCTTCCTTGGACTTGCCCGAGCGCGGGGGAGCTTTCGTCGTGGTTGAGATTCACGAAACATCCTTGGAAGAGAAAGCCCGTGATCCTTTTGAAAAATGCAAGCGCACTCAAGAGTTCCGGATGAGGTTTTAGATTTCGAAGAATTCCAAGAATTAAGTAAGTCTCGCGGATGAATGTTTCCGAATGGAGAAGCCTCGAAGGCCTCGGAGGCCTCGGAGGCCTCGACAGCGCGCTTCGTTTCTTATTTAGGTGGCGCCAGTTTTTTGCGCGATCGTCGCTGGACGCCGCAGGAGATGATTCAGATTTGAGAAGATAGAGGAGCGTCTCTGCGAGGCATCCCTCGACAGGGCTGCATAGCTGCATAGCTGCATAGCTGCATAGAGAGGCTGCGGTGCTCTCGTGTAATACGTCTGCGGAAAGCATCCCCTCGTAGAAGCTCCGTGCACTTTGTAAGCCCGTGTACTTGGCGAAGGGGTAGCTTGTGAGCGTAAATATGCATGATGCATCCCGGCCAACCCCATTCTGCATCCTCCTTTCCTTTACGCCCACGCCCATCAATCCAGCACCCTGTTAGTCTATTCACCGCGCACTACTTATCTTTTGTGTGCACCGGCAGCGTGTACCTGCAGCAGTGCCTGGCTGCCTGACTGCCTGACTGCCTGACTGGATGCCTTAACCACCCCCCCCACCCCCCTCCACTGAAAAGAAAGATATAGCGCGCAAATATCCACGACCATAGGGAAAACCACTCACGACTTTTGCGGACCATAAAGTTTTATCGATTGCATGTATTATATTTTGTTTGAGATAAACTTTGTCCTTCTTGTCCAGTCTAAATATCCATTTAAATATCAGCGTAGACCGATAAACTCCGGTAATTAGTAATTTGATTTTTGAGTTTGATTCCTGCTCAAAAATATTGTCCTGAAAATGCACGACGCGTGGAGTTGCATAAAGACAGCCCCCGGCCCTCCAACTGAGAATGTCACTTTAATGGCGAGCAAGCTCGAATTACGTATAAGAGTGGGTTACCCAGGCTGAGACTGAATGAGATTCTCAGCCCGGCGACAGGGTGAAGCGCGTTTCTGAATTCATTAGTTTTAACGTATTCAGGGTATTAATTCAAGGGTTCAAGGGGCGGCAAAGCGGCCAGGCGACTTTCAGAAGAAAGGGACCTGATAGCCAGTCCACGGTGCTTTGTAACGTTGTAACGTGGAATAAACAAGCCGATAAGCTTTCCGACAAATCGCTGCGACTGCCTCGAGTACTCGAGCAGAAATCGACTCGGCGACAGGTGGCGCCACCACTTCCGAAAGCCAATTCTCCCGAAAAAGCAACGCACTGCTGCGTCTTACTCCGTACATAAGGGACCTACATATGAGCCGTTCAGTGCACACATCGATTAACTCCATAAAACAAAAAGTTGAGAAATGCGATGAAGTAATGTATATTGTAAATTACTTATTATTCAATGGCCAAAAAAATTGTGCCGTTTAATGGTGCTAATCTTTATTATTCAGGAAAGTTATTATAAATATAAATAGTTATGACTATACCAAGTCCTTTGACATTTAAATTTAAGATTTTTGAAAAAGTGGAGTTAATCGATGCGTGCACTGAGCGGCTCATATATTCGAACGATCAGTTAAATATTAGCATGGCTCCTGCGTCAAAGTCCATTATAAGGACTGTTCATTGTTTCTTTACTTTGGACCGACATACGCAATTCCGAGTACGAGAGAAAAGATTTATCCTGAACATGCGTACAGACGTAAATATCTCTCTCTAGTTTCAATGAATGTCAGTGCCTAGTTGTGGTTAACTGGATATTACATGGATATTAAATTGCCAATATAGCGATGCCACGTGATGGAGAGAGAGAGAGAAGATGATCGAGTTCTCTCGTTCTTATTTTTTCATCAATTTCGATTCCTTCGGAATATTTAAAAAGATACGTGTGAGATTGTTAGGCTCGAGCCCTGCAGCCAGCCGGAAGAGGCTTGGAAGTTGTAACGCGCGATTCAGGTATTCTTACTCCTTTTATTACGGGACCTATAGCACCTATAGTACCTATAGCACCTATAGCACAATTGCATGTATGTACCAGGCATTCCATTCAATCGCTGCAACGAATTGATAAATACTGATTGAAGAACAGAAGAGACGTTACGCCAGAGCGATTTAGAACAGTGCCAGAGTCGAATGAAAACGCAGTCCGGGAGGGGCTCGAAATCGTTAACAATTGCGGAATCGCGGAATCGCAGAATCGCAGAATCCATTGGCGAGCGGCCGCGCGTGTGAATATAACTGCCGATGAATATTCGCACAGAGGGCCACCCTGTACTGAATGCCGAGAGGACTCCCACCACTCCTGGCACTCCTGGTCCAGGGTGCTCAAGCCGGGATTTCTATTTTAGTCTTCTCTCTCCCTCTCCCTCTCCTTCACACTCTCACTCTTCTTTCTAGATTCTACATACCTGTATTGCTATAGGCTTGGTCGCTGCTGTAGCTGCAGCCTGCAGTGACGTTTCCAGGTTTCTGCAGGTTCCTCCAGGTCGCTCCAGGAAGCAACGTCGGGAAGGCGTGGAATCGTCCCAAGAGGCTGGAAGAGGATAAAACGTTGCGGAATGAGTCTAGATATTAAAATGCAGAGTTGCCTGCAAAGAATCTTGAACCCTTCCAGCCTCCTGCGGAGCGCACTGAAAATTACGTTCGAGTCGGTTTAATTTTCAGAGTTGCAATTGCTATTCGACATAATACGCTGATAGATACGGTCAATCACGAATTCTGCAGTGACGCGTCAGATCTTTAACAGATCTTTAAGGTTCACGGGGCGCGACGTTTTCACGTATTTCACATTTCATGAGGAAATTTACAGAAATCGTTTACATTTCTACTGACTTTCATCCATTTAACGAGAGAGAGTTTTATTTGCAGAGCAAAATTCATTTTCTTCGAAGCTTTCGAATTTGGAAGTTCCCTTTATGATTCTCGCGTCAATTTGACGCGATCGTTAAGTAATGATCAATGCTAGTAAATTGGCTTCACTCGTAAAAGCATTACTGCACTAATAAATATAAAGGTGATTAATGTAGGTAGAAGAATTACGTAGGATTACCTTTTAAGAAATAAATGAAATAATTAATGTTTCACCTTCGCAAAGAACTCTCTTTTCCACTGTCCTCTGTGCTTCGAGCAGCTTCGAGCAGCTTCGACTGTCACACCTCGTTCGCCCTTCCCCTCGAGCCCAGTGCCCCAAAATTGGACTTTCCAATTTTGAATCGTTAATCAGCTGTTTCGTCAATTAGAGTGTCGGAGGTGTCATCTCCTATCCGTAGATGATCCTGACAATGAGATTGAAGCGGTATCGAGTCTCGAGTCCTTGAGGATTATCCGGTCTGTGAGTATCGAAGAGGCCAGCTGGTTTATTATGTTTCCTGCACAGGCTGCCTGGAGACACTCTCGAAGGACGATGGTTGTAGGAAAAGAGTCCTTGAACACGGACTTTGGTCAGGCTCCCGTGGTTCCAATTACGACTGAAAGGCAGGCCCGTTTGCCCCGTTTGCCCCGTTTGCCCCGTTTGCCCCGTTTGCCCCGTTTGCCCTATTTGCTCGGCTTCCACGAATGCAGACTCTTCACTCTTTTCTCCTCTCCTTTACTTATCTTTCCGTCTGTCCCCTTTCCCCTTTATCAGGCATTAATAAGAATTTCATCCTATACGTAAGAAATGAGTTAGGTCATGGGGAAAAAAAAAAAAGAAAAGGATCGAACGAATGAAAATATTAATTGAAAAGGATAATAATAGAGCACCTTACGCTGTTGATCTCGACGTTTCTCGTGCCCAGGAAAAAGCACTCGCGAACAAACGAAAATCGTTCAAGTGATTAACCAGCTTGCGACCCTTTTCCGTTAGCGTCCTAACGGCTGGCTCGTCAGGAGATGATTGCCACCACAAAGCTGTCTGATTGGCTCGTTTATGTTAGCATAATGCTCGGGACACCGTCACAGATGATATAGGAGGACTTCCCTACGCAGCAAGTTTCTGCTCTCTGCCATCCATCTCTATTAAAAGAGAACGCCTAGAGAATCCGCCGTCAGTAAAGTTCCCAGATTTGCGTAACCTGGCGTTTCAGTAAGATGAAACAATCGATAAATGTGAACTTGCAGCTGGAAGACACTGCCAGCGTGTGGCTCTCGCTATTCCAGCGCTGCGAAAAGGCCCGGCAAGGAGGCGCAACCGTTGCCGAGATTAGAAGAGGTCAACGCGCTCGATCTTCATCCCCGCACGAATGTGTGGAAGTGTGGAAATGTGGAAATGTGGAAATGTGGAAATGTGAAAGTTCTGCGTTCGCAAAGGAATGAAATCACGGGCAATTACTTCTCCATTGAAAGCTCATGTCGGTCAAACGTATCCGCTGAATGATCGATGAAAAAATAGGCCGCCATTGAGCCTACGATAATAATAAACGTTTGATCAGCAGGATCAGCAGGATCAGCAGGATCAGCAGGATCAGCAGTAAGCAACAATAATTGAAAAGAGTAATGACACGATGAAAATAAGCGAAGCCACTAATCGTAACGAAGTCGAGGCGCTGCGGAGCCTTCTAAGCCAGATAGATGGAGATACGAGATGTGTAGAGCGTATCGCGCATTTCTATAGAGTTCGGGGTTGTTTACGACAAGCGACAGTTGATTTGACAAAGCCGCGAGTCCATTTATGCGAGTGAATATTACAGGGCGCAGTCGAGGGGTGGCTTGTTATCCGCTCATTGAAGTTAACCACGGGGCTAAGTACGGAGGAGGTTGAGGCTGTGGCTGTGTTCAGCGTGTGCGTTAAGGGTCACTGGGAGCCAGGGGCGTATACCCTCAACGTAGACGGGGAGATTCCAGGGACGCGGGGATTACGGAGAGAAAGGAATCCAGCCAATGAGAGGGCAGATCGTTGCCGAGGTAACCGCGGGGGCTTGCGGGGGGCTGCGGGGGGTCGCGGGGGGTCGCGAGGATTATTCGAGCGAGATTGAAAAGTTAGCGACGAGAGGTGGGGCGGCTGCTTCGATGTGGATGAATTCGACCCCTGCCCCTTATAGGGGAAAGGGACGAAGGGAGATTACACTCCTGCAGGGGTTGTTTGCGATCCGCAGAATCCAAGCTTATCGGCGTAATACGCGGCGACGAATTAAACTTTTATTTAACAGCCAGACGAGCCTCACTCAGTTTCTCTAGCCCGTTACTCGCATTACTTTTGTGCTTCTTCAGTGATTCTATCATTGAACGACTAAAGCCAATTCACAGACGCATTCTTTCCGAAACACGTGTGATTAGTCCAATGAGATAGAGAGAGAGAGAGAGAGAGAGAGAGAGAGAGAGAGAGAGAACAAAGTTTATTATACTAGGGCAGGTTGCCCTGGAAGTATAAAATACAGAACAATGTTCAAGAAAAAATTGATAATGATAATAACGTAATAAAATAATACATATTTACATAAATATAATTAATAGTAATAGTAAGATTACCGTAATAGTAAAAGAGAGAGAGAGAGAGAGAGAGAGGGAGAGGGAGAGAGAGAGCGTGCCTCGGGACTCGACTAGTCCCCGACGAAGCTCGCTATTGCGACTCAGGGACCGTATTGCCGTCTCCCTTACACTCGTGCTGTGCAACAAGGACGCACCGTAGGGCACTCTGCGTTTCGCGCACGGAGAAAGATACGTGAAAGATGAAAGATACACCCCGTCCACTCTCCTTCCTCTCTTACCTCGCCGCCCTGCGCGTCCACAAGCTGGACGCCATTAATGACGCTCAATCTACAGCGTCTACAGCAGCCTGTAGGGCCTACAGGCATGGACGTGCAGCGGAACAGTGGATGGAAGTTACATATTTCGTTTTCTAAAGTTGGCCGACCGAATTTCGAGGGTCTTCATCGGCAACGGATCAAGCGCGGCTGCGTCGAGCGCAATATTTATTTTGACATTCGCACGTGCGTCTCTACTCAATGACGAATGCAAGTCACTTGACATTTCCTGACGCGCGCATGATGATCAATGCGCTGTCAGTGCTACGGATGCTGCGCTCTGCGCCTAATTCACAATTCACCTGTGACGAGGATCGCACGTGCGACCTGGCGACCCGGCGACCTGGCAACTCTGGAAATTACGAGTCCTGCGCTTCTGATTTCTGTGTGAGTTAAGAAGAAAGAGAGGAGAAGGAGGAACGAAGAAAGAAGAAAATAGATACATATATGTGAATAAAGACGGCGGAGTGGAAAAAGTGGATGAAACGCGGGGATAAGCACGAGCGGCGTCGCCGGTTTCGTTTGCGAGACGGTTAGATGTCGAGTAACCAAAGCGGAAACGCAGGGTAATGACTACTTTTTCATATTTTAATTACGCAGTAATTCATTGAAATGTTCCCCGCTCGCAAAGGCCACTCGAGCAAAATGAGACACGAGTGGATCCCCAACGAAGCGACCTTTTTTAAGGAAGACTTTGCATCCGTTGCTTCTCGCAAACAAGGAGAAACAAAATATCATTTTTAACTTTCTACAGTTCTCGATTTCCTCCGATTTCCTCGCGTTCACTGGGATTCCCTCGTGGTTCATACTGCCGTCTGCTGCAGAATATCTCCATTTGATGAGCAGGGTGCTCCTTCGGGAATTTAAGAGGAATCGGCCCACGACCGCGAGCAGAATCCACGCGCTACGCGTTCGCCGCGTGACCGTGGCACCAGGGGTGCTACTTGACGGATCCACGAAGAAACAATGGGAGCTCGCCCTTTTCTTGAGGAGTCGCGCTTGCGCTTGCTTTGTATAATTGTTCTGGCATTGTTTCAGCCATTGTTTCCGGTAACTCTCTCGCCGTAACGAGGAGGAACCTCAATTAGGACGGCTTGAGGACTTAAATGCCCAGAGGCTCCCGAGTTTAAGAGGAATACACATAGTTACTTCCTTGCTTTATGTGTATACAAGTGTTATTGCTACGTGCCATGCGTACCTGGAACTCGTCTGGGGATTCCGACGCGCCTGCAAATTTTGACAATCGAATTTAAAGGCTATTCAAAATCAATATTTAATGCTCTATGTAAACACTCGAAATTTATTAAATATTCGTCTTTAAAACTCTTGAAATGTTGAGCTTGGCTAAAGCTGATTATAAAGCTTTCAGACGGAAGCGGAATCAGCTTCCACAGCAGAGCTTAGGGCTCTCAGGAAATAATTGTTAATTCGCGATAAAACAATTTAAATAAAACTATTACCGCAACCTCTGTAACTCTGTGCTCTCTATTTCCCATAGAAGAAGGTACAATTAATTGCGCTCAGATTTTTAGTATCAAATTTAGAATTTAGAATTTAGATTAAAGTCTTAGGTATCCGGAAGGAGCTTTACGCAGGCGTCGTAGGATTCTGCGCGGGAAACCATCGCTCTCATTCTGTTCCCCTGTCAGCCTACCATTTCAATCGTCTTCAAGTCAGTCCCAAGTGGGCAGCCATTATCATTCGGCAGATTGCTCAAAATCTATAGTTAACGTTTAAACAGAGGATCCCGTCGGATCGTCAACGAATTCGTAAATATGGACGCAGAATAATAATGAAGGAAGTGCAGAGGAGAGAAATCCTTCGAGTTTCGATAGTTCGACTTCGCACTGGGCGGACTGGGCGCACTGGGCGCACTGGGCGCACTGTCGACGTGGCTCTAAGCAGAGGGTGGTGGGGCGCGTGGTGGGCCTCTGTCGGTAGCGTGATACCCTGGTAGAAAAATGAGAGTGTTCTTTGGGATCAAAGGAGGAGGCACACGGGGCACATTCGTCCCTCGGTGGGATGGAAAAGTTTCGGGAACGAAGAGAATTCTGCCAACCGGGATGCTATGATAATTCGTATATAATTCGTATCGGTGGACAAATAAATAATCGCTGTGGGTAGCGTGTCGAGTCGTACTTTTAAAGCTTTAGAAGTAAGTTTAACGGATTTTGCAGATTCTAATTCTTCATAATTCTCGTGCATAATAACGCATTTCTATTTGAGCTTGAATATAAATATAAAAAATAGTCTTCTATTTTTTTGTGATTATGCAAATTGTAGGATGACAGTTAAAAGAAGCCAGAACGCAGGATTCGTGTTCCAGCGTCATGTTCCTGACGAGCTCTAATGCCTCTAGTCCTGCCTCCAGTCCTGCCCAAGAAGAAACGAGCAACGCTCCTTCCTCGCGGGAAGTTAAATCCGGCAGTGAGACTCGGTACGAAGGACGTGCAGGAGTTATGGCTTCCTGGTGGCGCGAATGCTTCTGGCGCCACTCTCCTGACGGCTCACGACCCGTCGTCTTCTGACGTAGCCAGGAACTCGCGTGTCCTGGCGCATGCAGTCCTGGTGACGGGAATGCTTCCCGTTCGAAAGCTCCGACGGGTCACTGGGAAGAGAGTGCATTTTCAAGCTTGAAAAAATGCTCAGCCTTCCTAACTCATCGTGTCCTGATGCAAAGAATATTTCTAGGGGATAAATATGTGCCCGAGTGTGCGCAGATGAGGATCAATGTGCAATAATTGTACATGCCGCTCCCGAGAACATTTGTACAGCTTTGGCATTTACTCGCTTCTCTTTTTTCCTTTCAATTGCGACTCACACGTCACCCCAATGGAGAGCTTCTTCTCAAGCATCAGCCCCGAAGGGATGGTATGTATTAATAGTGCGCCCCTGAGACCATTGTCATTTTGTCGAATAGATGAGAACTTCCTACTACTTTATGCGAACCTGATTCTGCGGCGTCACCTTAGGGAATTTCCATTGGGTTCGTTGCAAATTCGATTCTCTTGAAATACGCGTTTACTAAGGAGAGAAGGGACAGGCGCCCAGAGCATTCGATAGGTTCTGCATACTTCAAGGACTTCCAGGATCCTTGAACATCCTTCTCATTCTATCCTGATACTCGAGTCTGCCCTCCGTTTTGAAGTCTTTCTTTCATTAGCAAGGCTTATATCTACTACGGCGTCATCTACGTCCGTAGAATTAAGAATATTTCATTACAAAGTATGACACGGTCCTCAATCGCCGTATAATCCATCAAATTTTGCAAGTATCCTTTCCATCTTTTTTTACCCACAATATGGATTATCAACGAATAAGTTAATTGATACGCTGTTACAGACTTATACGTTTTCCCCACGGATTTTTGAGAGGTATAATATTTTCGAAAAGAATGATCGTCTCTAAAGGACAAACTCGTAGGACTTGAACCATCGCGTACCCTTGAGAATCAGGTTATCAGAAGGATCGTAGTACGCGCAGAATATCCTTCTTAAGGATGCTGCTGTCCTGGCAACACTTAAAGATTTTCCACGTGTTGGTTTGTCTCGTCCACAAACACCATACGCGTCACTATTCTCTATGGCGAATTTCTGAAGGGTAATATAGGGATCCATCGATTCTCCAAGAAGCTGCGCACTGAACGTGCAGCCTCCAGCCGAACCTGCTGGCTCAAACCTGCTTCGACTTCCTGGTCGTCAGCAGAGTCCAAGACGTCAGTTATCCGGATGATCTCGGAACATCCAGGTACAATTGAATATCGGTCTTTAGAATCCCTTCAGAACATTCATATTTCTAAGATTAATTGCACGGCTGTCCCGTGTCATTAAACACCCAGAAGAACAGTAAAAAATGTTCATAAATAAATGTGCATTATACTTTTTAAACAACGTAACGCGACTACGATTATGAGAGTGCTGTATGAGTGTGAATTTTTCAATTTAGCCTAACCTAACCTAGATTTGCTTTGACGATTTGGGTTCCGTATTTCTAGTCCGCCTTAAAGTGGTCTTTATGCTCTCCCAATACGAAGGACGTTCTCAGCCACTTTAGCTGCTGGATTTTGGTCCAGCAGAATTCCTGATACTTGGAGGGCAGGATGTTCAGGACTTCATCATGCTCAGTAGGTCCTTGAACGGAACGAGCTTGTCCGTGGAAAAGCTCCCACGTCTTATGTGTACTTGATCTGGAAATATGCTTCGCGTTTGAGGCAATTAAGAACATTAGTCGAGGCGTCGCTGTGGCTTAATTCGGTTGTTGCGTTTACAATGGATGCCGTTTTCTGTTTGCTGATTGTATTATCACGCATTGCATTCTACGCTTATTCGGGTACGATTCGCCAGATTTATAGACTTTTAAGAGAGTTGACATTTTTTTCTTTTTTTTTTTGTATAAGAGAATAGGCCGATAAAATTATAAAAAATGAAAAAAATCAAACCGGTTTAAATCTCGAATGAAACAGTGTGTCGTTTAATGCTACGCATAGCTACGATCTTGCCTTACTCTACATTTTGCGTAAGAATGTCAATACAATTAAACGTAGACGTAGGAAAGGCGAATGGTAAATCAGACACGTGAGACGCACCCCGAGAATTACGATAAATAACAGCTAGAACTAGAAGTTCGTTGTATGTACTTACATGTATGTATACGTATAAGAGCGCTGATGGATGAAAAAGTCAGCAGCAGGTAAGATGAACGAGATATCAGAGCGCAATCGAAAGTTCTAGATACGATATATGTATATGGAATAATCGAGCTTCCCGCCTGAATGTTTCCCGTGGGGAATTCGCGCTGTAGGAATACCTGACCTGTATCCTTAACGTCAGTCCTCAAATAAATCGGCGATCGCTGACGTAGGTTCTTCTATCTACAGCATTAGAATGACGTATGCGATGCTAAAGACACGTATACGTGATACGTGACGCGCGTTACGTAACGTGACGTTGCGACAACGAGATGCTTCGTGTGCCAGGATAGTAGGAGAAAGGAGGAGCCATTCGACACCCTGATATCCTGACTCTTTGAAAATGGCGTCCGACTAACCCCCTGATCAGGAACATAGCTGACGCTCCTTTACGGTAGGTAGACCTTTTATTTAAGCTTTATCTTTGAAAGCTTATTCTTAGACCTTCATAATTATATTCAGACTAGAGACAAAGTCGTTTCCTTTTCACGTATTTCGTTAAAAATTCGTGGATCGGGCTCGTCATCGGGATCAAATTCGATTTTATCCGGTTCCAATGAGAAAGATGGTTTTCGAATCCTCGGGGAAGCACAGGGCGCTGCACTTACCAGACAAGCCTCCAGTTTCTCCCGCACAATCCTCTCGTCCCCATTTCCGTCAATGACTGTACCCGTTTTCCCTGCATACTCCATCAAGGGAATCAAGTTCTCTTGGTATTCGCGAATCTGCGGATAACCGTGAATTCTGCTAATTCGACGGATAAAAGAACAGCCTTCACTCGAAGCTCCCTTACGTCTTCCTCGACTCGACTTCGGCGATCGTTCGGATGAACAGCCAAGTCATGGCTGTCACTCTTCTTACATCCGTACTTTCGAATAATATTATGAGTGCTGCCCGTGTGAATGTCGTATCGACGTCCCAAAAGTCTTTCCCTACATGTGAGCAAATCTACTTCGAGAAAAATAACTCTAGAAATTAAATATAATAATGAGAATCTTCGTCGAGAAACAAAAGAAAAATGGATCGAGAGTGTCCTGCTGACCTGTTCGGCGGTGTCGACAGTAAGTCCAAGAGTTTAAAGTCTTCGGCGGTTATCGGATAACCCGTTAGAATCCATCCTCTCCTGGTACACTCGTAACTGAGTATACGCTTCTAAAACGTATAAGCAAGTGCCAGCCCAACCAACATTTATAGGGATAGTATAATTTTGGTAAATTAACAGTACCTCAACGAGTTCAATTCTCATATCGGCATTTGGCCGCTTTCCCCATTTATGTTCGAATATTCTTAAGGCTCTTCCCAGAGAGGTGTCTTGCGAACGACTTTCTTCCAAAATATACGCAAAATCCACTGGAATATACACACTTAATTGATTGATTTCTGCTGCCTAATGTCTAGAATTTTCAATAGACAGGATGCAATAAATTACGATGCACGAGGTTGAAACGCTCAGAGACATGCTTGGCCAAAGTCTCGCGATCGGATCCATTGGCGCCAATGAGAATCACTCGAAACTGACAAGGTGCAGCAACGGGTTTTCTTATTCTGGCCAAAGTCGCGCAAATTTTACCAATATCGTTAATGTTTCTATCGATTCCATCGACTTCCTGCAAGGAGTTAAGGAGACACTTGGGTATAGCTTTCGAATTTCCTAACGTAACTTCTATTTCTAACGATCAGGAGATCAGCGTAGACATCGCGCAGTCCTCGTAGACGCTTTACGTAGCGTCGTTGCTCCGCACTTTCCGCGCGATCACAGTAGCCTCTCAGGGGCGGCTCAAAGGTTCTTACGGCGTTCTTCGCCCTCTTGCATTCTAGTTCTATTATTAATGAAATACTTCGTAATTCCTTTGTGTAACTAACTGTAAGATATAGTCAGGTCGGTTAGACGGATTTCAATGGTACCTGGTGCTTTGCTCATTTTTATTTCAATTACGTGTGTCGGAATAATACCAACGCGTTGCATGGCTTGTGCTTCTGCCTTATTTCTTGGAAGGTCTAACAAAGAACAAAGCAAAATTTTCATAAATTCCAATAATATGTCTAGAGTCATTTTTCATACCGAAGAGAATCCAACCAGAATAGTGAATCAAGCCGGATCGTAACATTTTTTTCATATTTTTCGTAAGGTACTCAGCCTCTGCGCACGAGGCTTGTATATCCTACACAATCATTAATTCATAAATTTAGCGTACTCCTTTCTTTTAGTAATCGTTTTTTTTTTTTTTTTTTAACGAAGAGGGAGCGAATGAAATATTAGTTGCGTCAATAAACCAGCTGAACTACTCACTGTAGATGAGACCTTCTGCACGTCGCTGAAACTAATTGGACGAACTCCTAGTTCCTTCTTCAAAAATTCGGCAAGGAAGAATTTATCTAATAATCAATGTCAATCGTAAAATCAGCAATAAAATAACAACGTTTCTTCTCATTACCAAATCCTGGAGGTGCCAGAAGAATAATCCTTGGTACGTCACGGTTTCGTGCTGCATGAGGAAAGCATTGCTTAAGATACAAAATGTGGTCAGTAGGTTTTTTTATGAGCAATTGTGTTGCCAGTTCCTGAAATAAAAAGAGATTCCTCATTTCATACTATAAAAATATACATGCACGGAGAAAGTAGAATAAGAATTTTAGGTTAATGATAAAAGGAGTACAGACGTGAAAAAGCTCGTTAATTCTGTGCTTTTCCAAATAGGGGATGAATCGAAATGGGATCGTAAGAGGTCTCTTAATGGCATCCACAGTACTCAACATTATTAATCTTTCAAATTTCAAAGAAAATTAATAAAGATTATCGTGCAGGATTTTAAAATTCGGTCCTCTTTCTAAAAAACCATCATGTCAGGTTTTCATCGAAGTTTCGATTGTAGCATTGCTGTCCCTTTTCCGAAGCGCTCATTGGCTGTCGGTGTCGTCAATAATGAGTCCCCGAATTTTACCTCAAGTTTTTGTTTCGGAGAGAACGCAGCTCATGGCATCGGTTCGATAGATCGGGTTTACGATGATTGCCGTTGCGATTATGATGATTTAATAAATAAAAAGTAAGCGATTTGAGAAATATAAAAGGTTATATTATTGAATGAAAACGGTAAAGTAGTTTCAGTGAAATAAATAAGACGGATGACATACAAGAGAATATAAGAGTTTTGTGGAAAATATGTGTCCGATTTTCACTGGGTTTACGGAAACTAATCCCCTGCTAATAAATTTTAATAAAGTAATTAAATAATCCTTTGGATAATGTCAGTATACGTTATTTATGTTTGACGACGAAAGTATAACCTTTTGGAACTTTATTTTGATCATTTTAGAGTCTTGAGAATTATCAAAGTTATCTTATACAATTTGGAATATAGTGCATTTGAAGTTTGATGGATAAATTAGTTGCCGACGAGATCATGAATATGTAACTTTGTAGTATAATAGTAGAGTGGAATAATAAATTTGTATTCAAAGCGCTGCAGCGCAAACGTACCTCCAATCGCGCGTGTCGCTCTAGTATAATGAAAAAAAGGGTTACAAGACGATAAATTGACGTGCTGCTGCTGCGATCTCATGTGACAATAAGGAACTGTCCCGTAATCAACAGTTTCCAAACGGAATCCCTAACCGTACATCAGATAATACATGTGTCGCATATAACTTCAAAGATTACACCTAAACATGGCGTCACATTAAGTAGACTCTTATGTGAAGCAGAGATCAGTAGGGAGATGCACAACGCTACGGTTTTAGGCGATACCAAAAACATGGCGCTAAATCGTAGCGGCGAGTCCGGGAATAGAATTTTGTCATCATCGCCTCCGTCGATAATGCATATCCCGTCGTAGCCGAGCTGAACGTGATCACGAACGGGTAGCTTGCCGGGCAGAGTCCTCCGCTACTTATCGGTGGTTCCCAAAGTAACACTTAGAACGAGACAACTCATCGGATATAGCCTAAATACTTTTTTTCTTTTTTGCAATCCTAAATTCGATCGCACAGTGTAAGCTCGGTAAGTTTAATATGACAAAAGCAAGGAACTCATGTCTGCCTGCACTGAAGCGTATGATGCCACAAGCATATTTAATACATATTTTACCGATGTTGCGTAGCAGAACGACTGTTGAAACCTATCAGGAACTGTAGAACTTCTCGAGAACTATTGAAAAAGCCTATTGTTGAATCATTTTCAAGAGATTTTAAAAAAGTGCGATGCTGGAGCTGACGTCCATGTAGCACCTTCATTTTTGTAATGTTAATATAATATGTATTATATGTATTAATATAATATGTATAAATATGTATTTTAATAGAGAGTCCACAGTGTTCTTCTCTCGTCGGTGCGCTATAAACGCGGAATTGGCAAAATCCAGAAGACTCGCGTGGATGAGGACAAATTATTTAGTACACAGCGGAATCTGCGGTTGATCACTCGGAAACAAGAATGGCTGGAGATATAGTCAGACACTACCGCGCAGCATGGGAACACTTTCGGAATGCATCACAAAAATCTCGCACAAATATAAGTCAGATCTATGCTATACTTCCGGTATCAGCTGAGTATAGCAAATTTATGGCTTTCAGCATGGCCGCTTACATAAATGTTTATGGTGAGTAGAAAAAAAAGGAAAAAAGAAAAAGATCACTTACCCCAGGATCCTCGTCTGCCCTTCTCTTGTCCATTTGTATTATTCATTGGTCCAGTACATCTTTCGATACTCGAGGTCCATTCTGGTGACGACTTGACG